AGGGGCTGGCCCGGAGGGGCTTTCCCCGACGGAGGAGCTGGCCCGGAAGGAGGGGCTTCCCTGAGGGAGGAGCTTGGCCCGAGGGAGGAGCTTTCCCGGAGGGAGGGGCTTTCCCGGAGGAGGGGCTTGCCCCGAGGGAGGAGCTTGCCCGGAAGGAGTCAGGGGAAGGACCCACTGGGGCTCAGACGCCTGCCCCACTTCCCCACCCTCTCCGGGACTATGGTCCACGTAGTGGCCAAGCCTGGCGTCTCCCCAGGGTAGGGAGGGACGGCCACCGGGTTTGAGCTCCCAGCGAGTCCAGGCATCCCTTCTGCTGGGGCCTGACCCTTAGCAACAGCAGTCTTGTCTCTCACCCTGCCCCACCCCACAGCCTCAGGCCAGCTCCCTGGACGGCCTGCAGTCCCATCCTGCCACCCCCAGAACCTTGCCACCTCCCGGGAGTCTCCCTTGGTACACCACAGCCCCCGGCAACACCCTCAGAGCCCTTCTCAGCATGTTTTGGAATTGCCCGTGTACTTGCCTGAACCTCCCCCCATCTCCATGCAGGGAAGAGGTGGGTCTCGAACTCCTGGGATTAAGCGGTCCTCCCGCCTCAGCCTCCCAAGGTGCAAGAGCCATCACACCTGGCCTTGGGACTCTTTGTCTGTTACAGCCAGTGTCACGAATAGAGGGAAGGAGATGACTGGAGGGGGAGTAGATGAAGGAGGGGGAGGCGGGTGGCGGGAGAAGGGGAGAAGAAACAGACAGATGGGGAATTGATGGACAGAGCGATGGGTGGCTGGACAGAGAGACGGATGAGGAAGGGATGGTTGAGTGATGGATGGTCAGTGACAGGGCGGCAGGAAGCTCCCAGCCACCACCGCAGGAGACAGGAGCTGAGGACAGAGTTCGTTGTTCTCGTTGTTTTGAGTCGGTGTCTCACTCTGCTGCCCAGGCTGGAGTGCAGTAGTGTGATCACAGCTACTGCAGCCGCAATCTCCTGGGCTCAGGCTATCCTTCCGCCTCAGCCTCCCAAGTAGCTGAGGCCACCACACTTGGCTCATTTTTTTTTAGAGATGAGGTCTTGCTATGTTGCCCAATCTGGTCTCAAACTCTTGGGCTCAAGCGCACCGCCTCCCAAAGTGCTGGGATTACAGATATGAGCCTCCATGGGCCTCAGAGAGTTTTTGAGCACCAGGAATCAGTGCTCTCCGAGACAGGCACCTGGGCATATTGTGCAAACATTCGGGGGTCCCCTGAAACTTCTAGGCATAGAACATGGCACAAAGAGAGGCTGGCTGCACCACGCAGGACAGGCTCAGACTGTAGTTTGGGTATCTATGAAAAGCCATGCCTTGAAGGCCAAGAGGGCAGCCCTGTGGGAGCGCACCTGGGCTGTGTCATTCCATTCTCAGGCCACCTGGAAACACCCAGTGTTACCATTCCCATTTCACAGAGGAGGTGACAGGCTCAGGGCCGTGAGGGAACCAGGAGCATCACGTCAACTGTATGTGGCCACGCTGGGGCTCAGAGCCTGGTCCCTACACCGCCCCTCACCCCACAGCCTCACACAGAACCCGGGGCTGTCCACCTACCTGGATGCCCTCGATGCGCTCTGTGACAACATAGGCATGGTGCATGGCCACCAGGGGAACCTTGACGCCAGCCATCCTGCCCACGGTGCTTGCCCACACTCCTGCAGGCAGAGCACAGACAGCTCAGCTCTGCTGGCCCCAGAGGGAGCCGCCACCCAGATGGGCAAAGGCACCTCTGCAGACCCATCTGTCCTGGCAGGGATGCCCCACCCCAAGGAGAGGCCCTGAGGGGGTGGGACCAGGTTTGAGGGACAGCCATGTTGCTCACCCAGGAGTCAGGGGAAATGTCATTCCCACCTGCACAGTTGACCACACAGGGCGTCTGGATGGAGCCGTATTCTGTCTCCACGGCCGCAATCCGCCGCACCCCAAAGTCATCCGTCCGCACACGAATGCCAGTCACCGGACAGTTCTCAATGACCTGGGATGGAGAGGAACTGTTTCTAAAACCACATGGGGCTGCTTGGAGGCACTGGCCACCCACCCTGACTAACCCCACTCCCCCAGACGGGACCCACGGCACTGTTTCAGCTAGTAGCAGTCTCGTGTTGAGACCATCAGGAAAACAGGGTAACCACAGCACTAAAAGACTAGTCCAATCAGTCCTTGACTTGGAGAACTTGTCACAAGTGGAGCCAGTCATCCAACTTGATTGGGGGGGGGGCACTTTTTCGTAATGTGAAAAGTTGAGTTTTTAAAAGTAAGACATTTGATAATAGAAAGATGTTTGTGATCTATTTGATTTAAAAATAAGAACGAAACAACATGCAGCTTGGTTCTATTTTGTAGACATGCCTATCTTCATAGAAAAAATATTTGGGGTGAAACACACTAAAATGTCAATACCGGTTACCAGTGGGTGATTTTCACTTCCTTTTTGCTTATTTCTCTTTAAAAAATTTTTAAAAAAATAATTCATGTTTGAGACAAATGAAAATAAACAGTACGGGGAGAGATTTTGAGAGGATTCACTCATGTGACAGAACCAGACCCTCGGGGGAAGGAGGACGGGAAGTGGGTGCACCCACTGGCATAAGTTGCCATCTGCGAATAGAACCAAGGCACAGCCCTCCCCCCTTGGCAGGAGTGGATCAGAAGATGCGAGAGGGTCTCCGTGGCCCCAGGTCACACAGCAGGCAGACAGTGGCGTCTGCTCTTGTGCTTTCCGCCCTCGGAGTTAATTAGGCAGGAGGGGTGGGCTGGGAGCAGGGGACGCCAAGCTGGGCGGCGGCCGTCAGTACCTGTGCTCCTCGGGCAGCAGCAGCCCTGGTGAGGGCGGTGCAGGTGCCGGCGGGGTCCATGGTGCCGTCGTGTGGCACGTACAGGGTTCCATAGAGGCCGTCCACATTCATCAGCGGGTACAGAGCCTGGGTCTCTGCAGGGCTCAGCACGTGGGATTCCACACCATAGGCTTTGCCCAACTAGAGGACCCGGAGGAAATGAACTAAGCCCGTGGGGAGCAGACCCCCAGGCCACGGTCCGCCCCAATGGGCCTCCAAGGCAAACTTGAACCCCACATCCTCTCGGGAACCTTTGCCAGTCAGCATGCCCGCGCGGGCCCTGCTCCTCGAATCCGCTCCGGCATACGGTGAAGGCGCATGGAGCAGTGCATTGACGTGGGCTCTGGGGCCAGACCGTGGGCCTCCACTCTTGCTCTGACACTCACTGGCTATGTGACCTGGGACAGGTTGCTTAATACCACCTCCATGAAAAAAGGGTGGCAACAGTTTATGTAGTTGACAAAGAACTTAAGCCAGTTCCTGGCCCAAAGCGTTTATTATATAAAATAAATAACCCTACAGGGCTAATATTTGGGGCCGGAGGGTCAGGCTTCCCCGTCAGACCGGCTTCCCCAACATGGTCCTTAGTGCCAGACTCTGTGAGACTCAGTGTCAGAGAGACCACGTCCCCGACACATCTGACTGGCCCATGCACAGCCAATCGGTGTCCGCGGGCGTAGCCCATCGGGACGGGCTCCGCCTACTAGAGATGAGCTGAACCAATCAGATTCTCTGTCTGGGAATGGTGAATGGAGCCTGGCAAAGTCACGTGCTCCAGGCGGCCCAATCAGCGAGAAGCAGTCCTAGGACTGTAACCCAAAACTGTCATCTGCTGGGGCTCCCCTCCTGCAGGGTTCTGCCCTCCCCATCGCCGGCAGGAGGGGCACCCAGTGCCACGCTCCCCCACCCCGGAGCGCCCCCGCCGTCCTGAGCCCCCCGGGAGCGCACACCCACCGACATGAGCCTCTTGTACTCGTCCAAGCGCTGCCGGTTAGATGCAATGAAGAGACCTCCGTTCTGGATCCAGCCCGTGTGCAGCCCGGTCTCCTCCTGCAGTTCATGGCTAACCACGCGCCTCGTGTGGGCCAGAAGCTCTACCTCCACGTCGCTGGGCCGCAGCTGCCACAGCAGGCCTGGTCCGGGAGGGAGGGCGTGCGCCGTTAGTCCCCAGTGAGGGGCTCGCACCCAGTTCTCCCAGCCGGCTATCACGCAGCGCCCGTGGTCTTTCTGGGGCCATGGGGAGCCCACGAGGCGGCTGAGCGGGAATAGACTGGATCAAAGCTAGATGTCAGGGCGGCCCTGTCCTGGGGCAGCTCACAGTGACCAGTCAAAGGGGTTCCGTTATGGAGCACCTACTGTGTGCAAGCCCCAGTGCTGAGCCTGTCATGGGGTGATCTCAACCCACCCACAGAGCAGCCCACAGATGTGATGTGATTATTTTAGGATGAAATTAAGGTGGCACCCAACGGTCTTGTGTCCAAGGTCACCGAGCAGGTGAGTGGTGGGGTCGGGACACCAACCGCGTGACGGAAGCCCCAATCTACACTCGATTGCTCTCTAGCAGCTGAGTCAGAAGTGGGAGCCCACAGACATGCCTGGTGTCATGTCACCAGCTAAGATAGGTGGCCCAAGGCAAGACAAGCCTTAGAGGCAGTGACGTGCTGAAGCCAGCTGGCACCAGCTCTCAAGAGCCAGGGTGAACCTTTTCCCAGCCCCACAGGCCATGACCACACTTTGGTAGCTTGATATTGGCTCCGGGTGGCAGTGTTTACACCACAGAAATGGGCAAACGCCACAAATTAGGAAAACTGGCTTACCAGGACACTCTTGATGAAAAGGGTGAAGGCAAACCGGGTGTGGTGGCTCACACCTGTAATCCCACCACTTTGGGAGCTGAGGCAAGAGGACTGCCTGAGCCCAGGGATTCAAGACCAGTCTGGGCAACACCTTGTTTCTACAATCAATCAAAAAAGTAGCCAGGCGTGGTGGTGCACGCCTGTGGTGCCAGCTATTTGACAGGCCAAGGTGAAAGGATTGCCTGAACCCAGAAGGTCGAGGCTACGATGGCCGTGAGCATGCCACTGCACTCCAGTCTGGCAATGGAATCAGACTTCAACTCAAAAAAATAAAATAAGACAAGACAGTTGGGGCAGAAGGTTGCCTGCCCCAGGACATGCACAATGCCGTGCTTAATATATGCCCAGTGGCCAGTGAGGAGCATGAGAATTGTAGAAACCTTCAGTATCCATGGAGGACACAGTCCTGTGTCACCCTAATGACCCCCATCTGTCCTCCCCCACGCCTCAGGACACCCTCAACTCTGGTGGCTCTGCCCAGGAATGGGATTTCTACTCTTTGTACCAAACAGTTGTCTGAGGGTCCCAACCCTGGTCCCAGCCTCACTCTTTGGGCCACATGGGCAGCATGTGCTCCCTCCCCCACCACAGCTCTTCAGAGACTCCGGGGGCAAGCGGTGCCCCCAAATCTGCCTGCCTTCAGATGGACCACACAGCCTTTCTCAATGGTCTTTCCCCTCTAGCCCAGCTCCCTCCAGCAGGCTTGTGGTTGCCAACCCAGAACTGGCCCTGCAGGCTATGGCCCCGTGCTGCATCCTGCCGTCCCAGCCCCTGCCCGGCCCTGAGACCCCTACCTGCTGTGTGCCAGGTGGTCCCGGAGGTCAGCCGCTCCCGCTCCAGGAGCACCGCCCCGCTCACTCCCAGCTTGGCCAGGTGGTACAGGGTCTGGCAGCCCAAGCTGCCCCCGCCGATAACCACCACGTCGGCTGTGCTGGGCAGGGGCCGGCTAGGGCCTCGGGACACCGTCGAGGGGTCTCGTGGCTCCTTCAGGGTCCGCTGATATGGCACGTTCTTCTCGGCCGTGGGGCCGGCTGTGCTGGTCAGGGTGCGCAGTCCCAAGCCCTGGGAAGGGCTCCGGGTAGGGCGTGCCGTGGCCACACGCAGGGCTCGGTTCAGCCAGGCCATGGGGACTCTGGGGCTTCGGCACAGCAGGGAGCTGGGGAGAGAGTCAGGGCTGGGTGGGGCCTGAAGGGGACACCGTGAGGGGCCGTGCTAAATGACTGCCCAGGGAACATGGGCTCCATGGTGGTACCTTCCAGGGCCTCCCTCCTGTTGCCTCCCCACAGCACTTGTTCATTCATTCATTCATTCATTCTGCACGTATGTATTAAGGGCCTGACTGTACGCAGGATACCTATGGTAGGGAGAGGTTTCTGCCAGTCCACGAATAAGATGGAGAGTGCCACAGTCTGGGTGGGGTTGAAGCCACAAGAAGGGGCAGAGGAGAGGGGCTGACATGGCTGGCAGATGCTTAGAACGGGACCTGGGAAAGTGGGGTTCCCTGGTGAGGGAGGGCAAAGAGCATGGGGAGAGGCCCCAAGGACAGCGGACCAAGAATGAGGAACAAAAAGGAGCTCTAAGCCGGGCTCGGTGGCTCAGCCTGTCATCCTGCGCCTTTGGGAGGCTGAGGTGAGTGGACTGCCTGAGCCCGTGGGTTCGAGACTTGCCTGGGCAACTTGACGAGACTTCATCTCTACAGTAAATAAAAAATTAGCCGGGCGTGGTAGCATGCGCCTGTAGTTCCAGCTACTCAGAAGGCTGAGGCGGAAGGATCGCCGGAGCCCAGCAGGTCGAGGCTGCGGTGGCCGGGAGCGGCCACTGCCCTCCAGTCTGGGCGACAGAGTGAGACTCCAACTCAAAAAAAAAAAAGAAGGAGCTCTGATGTCACGGGACACTCAGACCCAAATCACAGAGGCAGAGGGTGCTGGGAGGCGGCAGGGGGAGGAGGCCCAGCCTGCCAGCCTCAAGAGCCCTATCGGAGGGCAGGAGGCCCTGGAAGCGGGCCAAGCCGCCTGGAACCCCACGGAACGATGCTGGAGGAGAGCCCGGTGCTGCCGTTCCGGCTGGGACTTAGGTGGGCCGGGCGTGAAGGAGGCCAGAGCCCCTAGAGGTGACAGCGGAGAGAGTAGAGCAAGGCAGAGCCGGGGTGGGGTTCCCTACACACACAAGGGGAGGCGGTCACAGGGTGGGAGGGCAGGCAGCCCTGGAAAGGGCCACCCAACCCTCAGCCTGAGCCTGTTCATTCTCCCAGAGGGCCCTCCCAAACCCAAACCAGACTTGTTTCTCCCATGCCATCCCCAAAGCCCCGTGGACCCAAGGCAGAAGTTGATAAAGGCTATGGTGTCCAGACCCTCTCGCCCGGGGCCACCTTGGATTCCAGCATGGAGGCTTCCTCCCCTCTGCTCCTTCTCCTTCAGGAAGCCTGCCCAGACTGCCCCAGCCAGAAGAATCTAATAATAATAGGTAACAGGGAGCCCACCATTGATGGAGATGTGCCCAGGGTGTCTCCCTGGGGGGGGTATTGCCCAATATGGGGAGCGAAAGACACTTCAGAGAGACTTCCAGCACCCTCGTCCAGGATCAGCCAGAAAAACAAAAGGGATTGGGCTGTGATCCTTGGTGCTGAGGTGGGCTGTGCCCCCTACATCAATATATATTTTGTGTGTGTCAGGGTCTTACTCTCCTGCCCAGCCTGGAGTGCAGTGGCAGAATCCTGGCTCACCACAGCCTCGACCTGCTGGTCTCAGATGATCCTCCCACCTCAGTCTCCACAGTAGCTGGAACTACAGCCACATACCACCATGCCCGGCTAATTTTTTCACTTATTTAGAGATGAGGTCTCATCAAGTTGTCCAGGCTGGTCTCCAACCCCTAGGCTCAGGCAATCCTCGCATCTCAGCCTCCCAAAGTGCTGGGATTACGGGTGTGAGCCACAGCGCCCGACCCCTACAACAATATTAATGATTAACATGAATTAGCTAACTCATTCGGAAAGTCAGCTTCCACTCCCAAGGGTGGCCCCTAGGCTGAGCAGTCAGAACACCCAAAACGCTCTGAGGTCAACGTGACTAGGGTCTAGACTTCCCAGGGGAGAAGCCAGGCACAGAGAGGCTCCCTGAGGTGAC